GAAACCCTGTCTCTACTAAAAATATAAAAATGGCCAGGCATAATGGCTGACACCTGTAAACCCAGCACTTTGGGAGGCTAAGGCAGGTGGATCACCTGAGGTCAGGAATTTGAAACTAGCCTGGCCAACACGGCAAAACCCCCTCTCTCTATTAAAAATGCAAAAATTAGCCAGGTGTGGTGGCGCACGCCTGTAGTCCCAGCTACTCAGGAGGCTGAGGCAGGAGAATTGCTTGAACCCGGGAGGCAGAGGTTGCAGTGAGCCAAGACTGAGCCACTGCGCTCCAGCCTGGGAACAGAGGAAGACTCAGTCTCAAAAAAAAAAAAAAAAAAAATTTGAGAGGGCAAATACCTTGTCTGACCTACTGTTAATCGAGAGTTCAACAGACTTCCAAAACTCCATGTAAAGACTTAGAGAAGGAAACTAACACTTACTGGACACTTACTATGCCCCAGGTGCTCTTCACATCTGTGATTTCAGTTAACACTAAAAGGGTAATTATTTTTAGTTTTATTCATTTTTTTTTTTTTTCAGCGATGGGGTTTCACTCTGCTGCCTGGGCTGGAGTACAGTGGTTATTCACATGTGAGATTTTTTTTTTTTTTTTGAGACGGAGTTTCGCTCTTGTTACCCAGGCTGGAGTGCAATGGTGCCATCTCGGCTCACCACAACCTCCGCCTCCTGGGTTCAGGCAATTCTCCTACCTCAACCTCCTGAGTAGCTGGGATTACAGGCACGCACCACCATGCCCAGCTAATTTTTTGTATTTTTAGTAGAGACGGGGTTTCACCATGTTGACCAGGATGGTCTCAATCTCTTGACCTCATGATCCACCTGCCTCGGCCTCCCAAAGTGCTGGGATTACAGGCTTGAGCCACCGCGACCGGCCAGGATTTTTTTTTTTTTTCCCCAGCAATAGGGTTTCACTCTGCTGCCCAGGCTGGAGTACAGTGGTTATTCACATGCATGATCATCATGCACTACAGACTCCAACTCCTGGGCTCTAGCAATCCTCCAGCCTCAGCCTCCTGAGTAACTGGGACTACAGGCATGCACCACCACACCCAGCTTTAGGGTAATCATTATTGCTCTCGTTTTACAGAGGAGAAAACATACTTAGAAAGGTGGAGTGATAAGTTCAATATTTGTGAGTGATGACATTCCACCAAAGCCTGCCAGGATGTGAGGCTATGCTATTCTAGTCTTTCACTGTGTTCTTCTCCCTTGCCTGCTTCTATAGCCTCTCAATCCAAAATTTACTATATCCAGTGAACCTCAACAGATAGGAAATCTACATTCCACAATAATACTCAATACTCAGTAATTGTCAAGTAATCAGACTGAACCATGCCTCTGCTGTTCAGTGACGAAAGAAAAGCTAGTAGAAAAGCTGAGTAATAGAGATAACGTTTCTCATTCCTACAGGCTACAACATGTACATGCTAGAAAGGACTTCAATGAGAGATCAGCCATGTTGGCAGAGCATGGTGGCTCACGTTTATAATCTCAGCACATTGTGTGTGTGTGTGTGTCTCTGTCTCTCTCTCTCTCTTTTTCCCCCTAAACAGGATCCTCTCTCACCCAGGCTGGAGTGCAGTGGCACAATCACCACTCATGGCAGCCTCACCTCCCAGGCCCAAGTGATACTCAGCCTCCTAAGTAGCTGGGACCACAGGCAAGCACTACCATGCCTGGCTAATTTTTTAATTTTCTGTAGGATCGAGGTCTCCCTATATTGCAAAGGCTGGTCTCAAACTCCTGGCCTCCAGAGATCTTCCTGCCTCAGCCTCCCAAAGTGCTGAGATTACAGGTATGAGTCATCACACCTAGCCAGGAATGCACCTCTACAAAAAATGTTTTAAAAATATATTAGCCAGGCATGGTGGTGCACACCAGTAGTCCCAGTTACTCGGGAGGCTGAGACAAAAGGACTGCCTGAACCCAGGAGGTCAAGGATGCAGTGAGTCATAATCACACCACCATACTCTGGTGACAGAGTGAGACCCTGTCTCAATCAATCAATCAATAGATCAACCACATAAAACAGAGCAATGTGGGGAACAGAGAAAAAAGGAAGCAATAAATGAAATTCCAACAAATCATCTTGAGGATGGACTATACCACTATGAAAAAGTACACGTGTTCCTGAAATCCAAAAGTCATGAAGGAGAACTAGCATCAATACCAGCATCCAGGGGGTTCCTTTCCATTTTAAGGAATTACTTCTGAACAAATAAAAGAACTTTACTAGACAAGTGGTCAACACATAAAAAAAATCACACCCCAAAAGATGCTGCAATAGAACTTAAGGAAACGTTTAGATCTATTTGTGAGTGAAAATTCTGACTTATTAAATGGAATAATATTAACAATAATAGATAACACATTGTGTCAGGCATTGTTCTGGGCACTTTTACATAAATAACTCATTTAGTCCTTAGAGCAACTCTGTGAGATAGGTCCTAGTATTTCCCCTGTTTCACAGATGGAGAAATTAAGTAGATGTGTCTAAAATCAAATTGCTGGTAAGTTAGTGGAGCTAGGATTTCAAGCCAGAGGGTCTGGCTTTAGAGCCTATACTTGTAACCACTATCCTACACTGCCTCTCAAGGGAAGAGAGAAGGTTATTCATGTTTAATCATTATAAACCAGAGACTGATACGACAAGGCTAACTAACAAACTTTCTGTGAGAGACAGAACACAGGCTCAGCCCCACAGGTCTAACCCTATCCAACAAATCAGGGGTGGGGGGAAATAGCTAAACAATTCTTTCAGTCCTACTCTGCTTTAATTGGAGAAATGGGAAACTGGATTAATCAAGACTTAAAAATGAAACAAGCAATTGCCAAAGAGAGTTGGTTCACTCAAAAAGTGTGCATTTGCTTGCTACTTGTTAGATAGCAACAGAATCTGATGTGAAAAGTTCAAGGTTTTCCCCCAGGGTGCCAGCATGTTCTTTTGCAATCCTACCTCTACCAGCTTTGGAAAGGAGGGGAAAGGAGAAGCAGAGCTTCAAACAAGTGCTGGCCAAGCCCCCTTAAAGAACCTTAGATCCTGTTCTATTAAACACATATACAGGAAGGGCAAACTTGCAAAACCAAAAGAATCCTTGGGCATGACAATGGCTCCAAGTGGCAAGATTTTTAGTACTGTTTACAGCACTGACAAATTAAATGTCCTATAAGAATCAAGAACTGAGCCGGACACAGTGGCTCACACCTGTAATCCTAGCACTCTGGGAGGCTGAGGCTGGCTGATCACCTGAAGTCAGGAGTTCAAGACCAGCCTGACCAACATGGTGAAACCCTATCACTACTAAAAATACAAAAATTAGTCAGGTGTGGTGGCAGGTGCCTGTAATCCCAGCTACTTGAAAGGCTGAGGCAGGAGAATCACTCGAACCCCAGAGGTGAAGGTTGCAGTAAGCTGAGATTGTACTGCTGCACTCCAGCCTGGGTGACAGAACAAGACTCCATCTCAAAAAAAAAAAAAAAATCAAGAACTGAAGAAATCCTTCAATCCCAGCCTGTGGGTATTCCTAACACAAAATAATTCAGAGAAACCTAGACCCCAAGAAGCCTCAGTATTTCAGCAAACTAAATGAGCTAAGGCAAGAAAGGAGAGGCCCTCCTCTTAAGACACTTGCCAAACTCCAGAACATCTGACAGTGAGAAGACCAGAATCAGTCCTTGTTATTTCCCACGTTTTACAATCACGACATCTTCTTCCTGAATCATTCACATCGCTAATAGAAGCTGGTATAGGGGAACACATCAACTCTTTTAAGTGCAATTCCTGTAACAGACATGCAGAATACGAGAGTAAGAAACACTAAGCAGTGGTCTTCTGCCCCAAGGAAATGAAATGCTAGTCAGCTGCTGAAAACTCCCGAAGGTGTTTCAAGGAGATGGAAGAGGAGGAATGAGGCCCAAGTTGAAACTATTTTCTTCTTCCTCATTCTAATCCTAACTCAACTCAAAAATGTTTGGATGACTAGTGCAGTCACATATACAGGTTCAATACAGGCTCAACAGGGCACACGACCTGGGGCAAGTCACAAACCCTTAGTATCCATTTCTGCGAAATAGAGGTTAACAGCCTGCACTTCATAAAGGTTGTATCGAGCACAGTGAGCACTAAACGAGAATATAGATGTAATGTGTCCTCAACATGACAGCACATATGCAGTTAAATGTAAGATCTCTCTTAGCCTTTTTCTCCTCACCCCACCCCACCCCACCTTTGGATTATAAACCCCTTCGGAGGCCTTATCATCCACTGCCTCCCGACCGCAGAGGCACAGACGTCAACACTGGTCCTCATGGTCCCCTTATTGGACTGGGATTTGGCTGAATCTGCAGGTGAAAAGCTAGAGCGGAGCCCTCAGCCAACAAAACCAAACCCAGGGAAGCGAGGATGGGTCTCGGCCAAAAGCTTAGTGGCGTCTGTTGTTCACAGTGCGTCCCTTTCCTATCAACGCACTGAGAGGGTTCGACTGTATTATTTCTGACTCTCCAACTTGACGAGAGAGGCGCAAAGGTGACTAAAGATGAAGAGGCTGGCAGCCACTCCAGGAGGCTGAGGCCGTGACGGAGCGGGAACCCTGATGGAATCAGGCCCCTCCCCGGAGGGGACAGCCGGGAGCGATCTATCGTCTCCCTCTCAAGCCCTCACAGCTCAAGGATGGGGACTTCCCAAGGGTCCCGTCAACCTCCCCGCTGAGCTTAAGTGGGACCAGAGGTGCTGGCAGGCGGGAAATGGGGACCCGTGGGCACGGCCAAGCACCAGAGCCCGGGCTCCGGAATGTGGTCAAAGAGGGGTCACCGGGGGAGGGGCCGGGTGGGGAGGACCTGGGGAGGGGCGGGGCTCAGGAGGGGGCAAGAGGTCGGGGTCCCCAGCTTGGGAAACTCGGGGTCCCTACCCGGCTCCCAGCCGTATGCTGAGCGCCCCCTCCAGCCGGGGTCTCAGCCGCACAGCGGCACAGTCCCATTCCCCTTACCTGGCTCGGCTGCTCTGCCTGCTCCGAGGACGCCATCTTTCTGAGGCCTGACTAATCAACCGCCGCTGGACGAAGTTTCTCCCAGGCGCCCTCGCTCAGGCCCTCCAGCCCAGACTAAGGTAGCCGGAACAGAGCCCGTCGATGTGGGAGACTGGGGCAGAGGGTGGAGCCCGGGTGTCCGGGTCACCTTGCACAGTTTCCGTTAAGTCTCTGCTTTCCAGGAAGATCCCAAGTCTTTATCTTGTTATATGTGTATTATTCTTATTGAATTAAATCTCTGCCCATCTCCACAGTACCGTGAGCACATTTAGGGACTTGCCAAGTATGTAATAAATGGATGAATGCTAAGAAACTTGGAAATTAATTAATGTTTAGACATAAGTTCAGTTCCATTCATTGAGTGCCTACCATGTGCTAGGAACTTTGGTAGGCGCTCGAAAGAAAAAGATTCAAGATTCAACCCCTACTCCCACGCTCAGGCCAAATACACACACAATTACAGTACCGTGGGGATAGGACTCCGTAAGTGTGCAGGTCTATTGGGAGAACACAAAAGGAGCATTTTAAAGAGAAGAGGCTTCCACAAAATGTCATTATTTCTTCCTGGTTGAACTGGTTTTGTTTGGTTGGTTTTTGTTTATTTTTGAATTGATAGATTTTAAACTAAATTCTAAACAGGCGAAGTAGCTCACACTTTTAATGCCAATGCTTTAGGAGGCCAAGGCAGGAGGATCCCTTGAGCCCAGGAGGTCGAGACTGCAGTGAGCTATGATCATGCCACTGCACTCCAGCCTGGGCAACAGAGTGAGGCCCTGTCTAAAAATAAGACAATAAAATTAAAATAAAATTATATGAAAAAGGATACATACATTAGAGCTAACGGTGAGCTCATATTATAGTTGTGGTTTGATAGATATAGACTACTTAAAAGGGATGACTTAATAATTCCTTCTACCAAAGGCTGTTTTAAATGCCCACACTTTTCTTGAGATAATATCTAATTTCCTCACCCACGATTTTGTTTTGTTTTGTTTGAGACAAAGTCTTGCTCTTGTCACCCAGGCTGCAGTGCAATGGCACAGTCTCGGCTCACTGCAACCTACGCCTCCCAGGTTCAAGCGATTCTCCTTCTTCAGCCTCCCAAGTAGCTGGCATTACAGGCACCTGCCACCACGCCTGGCTAATTTTTGTATTTTTAGTACAGATCGATTTCACCACGTTGGCCAGGCTGGTTTGGAACTCCTGACCTTAGGCGATTCATCCGCCCTGGCCTCCCAAAGTGCTGGGATTACAGGCGTGAGCCACCGCGCCCAGCCCTCACCCACATTTTTGTAAACAAAATATAAGGTGAGAGGATTCCTTGAGCCCAGGAGATCAAAACTGCAGTGAGCCATCAGCCACTGCACTCCAGCCTGGGAGACGGAGGGAAACACTGTCTCAAAAAAAAGAAAGAAAAAAGAAGGGGAAAAAAAAGAGAGTGCCCCAAATGAATAAATATGAGCAGATAATTATTTCTAGTTTACGTAATTTTAAGACAGGAACTTTTTTTATTTTTTTTTTCACTATACTTTTTTTTTAGACAAAGTCTCACTCTATTGCTGAGGCTGGAGTGCAGTGGCGCGATCTCGGCTCACTGCAACCACCATCTCCCGGGGTCAAGTGATTCTCCTGCCTCAGCCTTCCGAGTAGCTGGGACTATACGCACGGCACGCGCCACCATACCCGGCTAATTTTTGCATTTTTAGTAGAGACGGAGTTTCACTAGGTTGGCCAGGCTGGTCTTGAACTCCCGCCTCTGCCTCCCAAAGTGCTGGGATTACAGGCGTGAGCCACCGCGCCCGGCTTTATTACTATTCTTTCAATCTTAGATGTTAATTTTTCAGGAGGAAAAAAACAAACTTTTCTATAGTAGCAGTACTAAAACAAGGATGAATAGGTTGTCAAGAGGCATTTTAACAATGTCTAACATTCCCGAGGTTCACATTTCCCCTTTCCTCTCCGATGCATTTGACACTTTAATGCTTACTATATTTATTTAAGCATTTTGTTCTGAGACCCCAAACTAATTTGCACAGTTGAAGCCGGAAACAGAATGGGTGGAAAGGTGCGGACGTCTGTATTAGCATTATGCATCTCATATGCGAATAGGAATGCTCAATTCAATAGAACATGCATGCGTGTGTATCGTCATGCAAAATAAATCTTTATTGGCCTTTTTGTGAACGCGCGAATGCACCTCCTAAATACAAGGTAAAAAACAACTCCTGGGCTTAGTCGCGCAATACAACGAAAGCGGCTTTAAACCCACAGACTACAGTTCACTGCATGCCTCGGCGCCACACGTGATTAGTGGCAACTAGAACTACAACTCCCGGCGTGCCCTGGTATCACGTGTGATTTGCTACGGAGCGAACTACATCTCCCGGCAGGCGGCAGAGGGGTTCGGGTAGGAGGACCGCCGCCCCGGCTTGCATTGGTTTCCCGAAGCCGAGCAGGTCCCACCTTGGAGAGGATGGAGGTGACCGGGGAAGCCGGGGCACCAGAACCTGGCGAGATCCGGATTCTAAAGCCGTGTCTGCTGCGCCGCAACTACAGCCGCGAACAGCACGGCGTGGCAGCCTCCTGCCTCGAGGACCTGAGGAGCAAGGGTTAGCTCGGGAACCCGGGCGAGCGGCTGGGGGAATCGGGGCCTGGCGAGGACGTCCGGCGGGGGCGAGGCGGGGTCAGAAGAGGCGACCTGGGGATTCTTGCAACTTGGCTGTAGCCTTGGGACAGATAGAGTCCGAGTGGGCATAGCGATTTACAGATTTCAGGCGCTTGAGCGTAGTTAATTTCGTGTGAGACTCCACAGTGGTGGAGAGAGCCAGGTAGCAATGGGCAAATTAAGCCAAACTTGGCTTAGATCTCCTGCTTGAAATCACTTAGATGTTGGACCAAGCCGAGCCCATTGCGTTCCTGCCACTCCGGCTCACTCAGCTGGTACAAGGACCCCAGCTGAGCCCACGGCGGGGTGGGGAGGGGTTTCCACCGTCTGCTCTGGCAGGAACCTGTGCAGGAAAGAGGGAGCTGCTACTGACCATTTCTTTTGGTCCAGACAAGGAAGGTGAATTTTAAGTGACTGAGCCGACAGAGGTTCTGAAACCGGCCCTATACCTTTACCAGCTGGCTTGGCCTTGCACTTAACCATCTCTCAACCCTCAGTTTTCTCATCAGCAAACTGGGTTAATATTTACAGTCCTGCTTCAAAGAATTGTTGGTTCTCTCAAATAAGATGATATATTTAAGCTACTTACAAGTGTTATTAACCGGTAGCAACAAACTGGTTACCCAAAGAAGTTTTACAAGTTAAATGTGTGAGGCAGCCCCAGGCATGTAGTCTCAGTGTCAGAGGGCACAGTTTCTTCCTTTCACTCACCAACAGAGATCATGTAGAACATTTTCAGAGACCCATTAACAGCCAAAGCATTACAAATGCTTTGCTGACATGAATTTTGCATATAAGCATTTATGTATTTTTTTCCTGGCAGTTTTGCTGTGTCGCCAGGCAGGAGTGTAGTGGCACAATCTCGGTTCACGGCAACCTCCACCCCCCGGGTTCAAGAGATTCTCCTGCCTCAGCCTCCTGAGTAGGTGGGACTACAGGCACGTGTCACCACGCAGGGCTAGTTTTTTGTATTTTAGTAGGGGTTTCACCATGATGTCCAGGCTGATCTTGATCCACCCTCAAGTGATCCACCCATCTCAGCTGGGATTACAGGCACGAGACACTGCGCCCAGCCGACACTAGCTAATTTTTGTATTTTTAGTAGAGATGGGGTTTCACCATGTTGGCCAGGATGGTCTTGATCTCTTGACCTCATGATCCACCCACCACAGCCTCCCAAAGTGCTGGCATTGTAGGCATGAGCCACCACGTCCAGCCGTTCTAATTCACTTCTAATTCCGCTTCTGTGCCTTGACTGGATGCTCGAGGCACAGAGGCAGGTGTTCTCTGCAGCAGCAGCCCATACATGCCTTGCTGTTCTATTGGGTGGTAGACAACACTGCTGAAGGGAATTTATAGTCTCTTGGCTATTTCTGCTCAGTCCAGTCCCATTAGTATTTGAAGCATTGCTGTCACTAAATGGGATAGTACAGACCTGTCCTGGAGAAAGCCTCTCGCCCACTGATAACGATCTGAAAAGTTACTGACATTAGCTTCTGCTTCTCTTATACTTTCCCATAGGTTAGAAAAGAAGCTGCTAGGGAAGATACTGTAGAAAACAAAAATAATTTTCTTTCTTTGTTTTTTGGTGTATTTTTTGACACTTGTCACACATAGAATTTAAGAGAACAACTGAATAAACGAATGAAAGACTGCTTGTTCACAAGGAATCAAACCAGACCTTGATTAATTGTTCATTCCAGTAAAAATTCAAATGCCAGCCGGGCACAGTGGCTCATGCCTGTAATTCCAGCACTTTGGAAGACTGATGTGTGTGGATCACCTGTGGTCAGGAGTTCAAGACCAGCCTGGCCAACATGGGGAAACTGCATCTCTACTAAAATACTAAAACTACCCGGGTGTGGTGGCATGTGCCTGTAATCCCAGCTACTCGGGAGGCTGAGGCAGGAGAATCAGTAGAACCCAGGAGGCAGAAGCTGCAGTGAGCTGAGATTGTGCCACTGCACTCCAGCCTGGGAGGCAGAGCAACACAGAGAAAAAACTCAGATGCCTACCATACATGAGTGCTGGAGTAAACATACTTTCAGGAGCCAGACTATGAGTTTACATCCCAGCCTTGCCACTTATTGTGTGGTCTTGGACAAGTTACTTAACCTCTCTGAGCCTTGGGTTCATCATTTATAAAACAGACCTAGTGGCCGGGCATGGTGGCTCAAGCCTGTAATCCCAGCACTTTGGGAGGCCGAGGCGGGTGGATTACGAGATCAACAGATTGAGACCATCCTGGTCAACATGGTGAAACCCCATCTCTACTAAAAATACAAAAAATTAGCTGGGCATGGTAGCGCATGCCTTTAATCCCAGCTACTCAGGAGGCTGAGGCAGGAGAATTGCCTGAACCCAGGAGGCGGAGGTTGCGGTGAGCCGAGATCTCGCCATTGCACTCCAGCCTGGGTAACAAGAGCGAAACTCCATCTCAAAAAAAAAAAAACAGAACTAGTAATAGTACCTACCTTACAATATTATGATGACATTAAATACCATTTATGAAAAGCATGCAGGGCCAGGCGCGGTGATTCACACCTCTAATCCCAGCACTTTGGGAGGCTGAGGCAGGCAGATTACTTGAGGTTAGGAGTTCAAGACCAGCCTGGTCAACACGGTGAAACCCCGTCTCTACTAAAAATACAAAAATTAGCCAGACATGGTGGTGCACACTTGTAATCCCCGCTACTCGGGAGGCTGAGGTACGAGAATCGCTTGACCCTGGGAGGCAGAGGTTGCAGTGAGCTGAGATCACACCACTGCACTCCAGCCTGGGTGACAGAGTGAGACCATGCTACTAAAAAAAGAAAGGAACACATAGAACAGTGTCAGGCATGTGCTAAGTGTTCTATTAGTGCTAGAAGTTATGGTCATTGTTCTAGGTATGACCTTCCAGGAGCTCTGCCCAGCTCTGGAGGCATACATACTTGAGATGCAGGGAAAGATGTAATTTCCTTATGGCTATTTTGTCAGTTGCCAAATATTTTATTCTTTTCAGCCTGTGACATTCTGGCCATTGATAAGTCCCTGACACCAATCACCCTGGTCCTGGCAGAGGATGGCACCATAGTGGATGATGACGATTACTTTCTATGTCTACCTTCCAATACTAAGTTTGTGGCATTGGCCAGTAATGAGAAGTGGGCATACAGCAATTCAGGTAAGAAATTCTAGTCACATACAAAACAGCCTATACAGTACAGCATCCAGCATGATTACTTTCACTGCACAGACAATTGCCATTTGTCTGGCTTTTTAAGCATTTGTTCAACAGACATTTACTGAGTACTTTCTACGTGCCAGACATGGTGCTGAGTCCTGGGGGTAAAGGTGAATGAGGCCAGGCACAATGGCTCACACCTGTAATCCCAGCACTTTAGGAGGCCGAGGCGGGCAGATCAGCTGAGGTCAGAAGTTTGAAAGCAGCCTGGCCAACATAGCAAAACCCCATCTCTACTGAAAATACAAAAAAAAAATTAGGCATGGTAGCAGGCATCTACAATCCCAGCTACTTGAGAGGCTGAGGCAGGAGAATTGCTTGAACCTGGGAGGTGGTGGTTGCAGTGAGCTGAGATGGTGCCACTGCACTCCAGCCTGGACAACAGAGTGAAACTCAGTCTCAAAAAAAAAAAAAGATGAATGAGACGTGAGCCCAGTTCTCAACTAACTCACAGACAGACAGCAAGTAAAATGCAGCTTGGCCAGCTGGGCGAGGTGGCTCACACCTATAATCCCAGCACTTTGGGAGGCCAAGGCGGATGAATCATTAGGTCAAGAGATTGAGACCATCCTGGTCAACAAGGTGAAACCCCATCTCTACTAAAAATACAAAAATTAGCTAGGCATGGTGGTGCGTGCCTGTAGTCCCAGCTACTCAGGAGGCTGAGGCAGGAGAATTGCTTGAACACAGGAGGCGGAGGTTGCGGTAAGCCAAGATCATGCCATTGTACTCCAGTCTGGGTAACAACAGCGAAACTCCATCTCAAAAAAATAAATAAATAAAATAAAATGCAGCTTGGCAGGGAGCTCAGTACTGCAGGCTGCAGTCTGGCTGGTTAGGTCTGGATCCCAGCTCTGCCATTTACTAACCAGGTGTCCTTGTGCAAATTCATCATCCCTCGGTGTCTTGTTGACATAATAATTACAGTACCTGTCTCCTAGGATTGTTGTAAAGATAATATAGTACATATCAAACCAGGGTTTCTCAACGATACTGGTGACATTTGGGGCTGGAGGGTGGATGCTTTATATATTGTGGGATGGTTAGCAGCATCTGAGATGTCAGGAACTCCCCCCTACCTGTAATAACCAAGAGTAAATGACTCCAGATATTGTCAGACGTCTCCTGAGGGGCAGAATCTCTCCTCCTTGAGAACCACTGATATGAAACATTTAGATCTTAACTGGCACATAGTTAAGGACTCAATAAATGTTACCTGTCACTGTCATCATCATCACAGGAGATACAAAGGGGACTAACATTAGTGACCAAGGATCAAGAAGTGTCTTGAGAGGGGGTTAGTTTTAGGGAGGGACTTAAAAACAAAAAGTATCAGCCAGGTGTGGTGGCTCATGCCTGTGATCCCAGCGCTTTGGGAGGCCAAGTGTAAATCACGAGGTCAGGAGATCGAGACCATCCTGGCCAACATGGTGAAACCCTGTCTCTACTAAAATACAAAAAAAACTAGCTGGGTGTGGTGGCATGCACCTGTAGTCCCAGCTACTCAGGAGGCTGAGGCAGGAGAATCGCTTGAACCGAGGTGGAGTTTGTAGTGAGCCAAGATTGTGCCACTGCACTCCAACCTGGCAGCAGAGCAAGACTCTGCCTCCAAAAAAAAAAAGTGTCTTGAAGTGTGCCACAAAATTGAGGAAATCATCCTACAGCATGGCTCTGCCAGCCACCTTTGTACTCAGGCCTAAGGGACAGCAATCAATGGCTACAGCTCCCTCACTGAAAGCAGGGACCAATCCCCAGCCACCAGAGAAGTGGTGCCAAGAATGACTGTCTCGTTCACACAGGCCAAAAAAGGAAGTGTGAGAGGATTCTGTGTATGTATGATCATACATTGGGTTTAAATGGCTTCTTTCTATGGAAGAATACAGAGCTGTTGCACACAGAAACAAAGATGAAAGAGGCCAGCCGGGTGCGGTTGCTCACGCCCGTAATCCCAGCACTTTGGGAGACTGAGGTGGGCAGATCACTTGAAGTCAGAGGTTTGAGACCAGCCTGGCCAACATGGTGAAACTCTATCTCTAATAAAAATATAAAAATTAGCTGGGCATGGTGTTGGGCACCTGTAATCCCAGCTACTCAGAAGGCTGAGAGTGGAAAATCAATTGAACCCGGAAGATGGAGGTTACAGTGAGCTGAGATCGCGCATTGTACTCCAGCCTGGGTAACAGAGTGAGACTCCTTCTCAAAAAAAAAAAAGATGAAAGATGAGGGAAAAATCAAGGTCCTAGATGGAGATTGGCCCTCCTGTGAATCCTTGAGATAAGATGCTTCTCTCCCATTGAAATTAATCTAGACCCTCAAGAGGGCGGTGTGTGCTGGGGGAGGAGGTGAAAGCAGCACTTCAGGTTGTTCTGTGACTGGCATTTGCTCCCATGTGTCAGATGGAGGTACAGCTTGGATTTCCCAAGAGTCCTTTGATGTAGATGAAACAGACAGCGGGGCAGGGGCGAAGTGGAAGAATGTGGCCAGGCAGCTGAAGGAAGACCTGTCCAGCATCATCCTCCTGTCCGAGGAGGACCTCCAGGTAAGCCTCCTCCACAGCCTGCAGCAACGCTCATCAGCCTCTGCCGCCCAGCACCTTCTTAGCCTCCATACTTGCCACAGTGATTTCTTTGTTTTAATCTTAATTTTTAAATAATTTTTATATTACAGCTAAGATGTTTCATCTTCTCATTCTCACCTAGAGTAATTTTTCAACCCTCATCACAAAGCAGAATTATCTGTGGATTTTTTTCTTTTTCTTTTTCTTTTTTTTTTTTGAGATGGAGTCTTACTCTGTCACCCAGGCTGGAGTGCAGTGGCGCAATCTCAGCTCACTGCAACCTCTCACTCCTGGGTCAAGCAATTCTCCTTCCTCAGCCTCCCAAGTAGCTCAGATCACAGGCACCTGCCACTGTATCTGGCTAATTTTTGTATTTTTAGTACAGATGGGGTTTCACCATGTTGGCCAGGCTGGTCTCAAACTCCTGACCTTATGATCCACCCACCTTGGCTTCCCAACATGCTGGAATTACAGGCAAGAGCCATCGTGCCCGCCATTTTTTTTTTTTTTTGAGACAGTCACTGTCGCCTAGGCTGGAGTGCAATGGCACAATCTCAGTTCACTGCAGTCTCCACCTCCTGAGTTCAAGTGATTGTCCTGCCTCAGCACCTCAGCGTACCAGGTAGCTGGGATTACAGGTACACACCAACACACCCGACTAATTTTTGTATTTTTGGTAGAGACAAGGTTTCATCATGTTGACCAGGATGGTCTCGAACTCCTGATCCACCCGCCTCGGCCTCCCAAGGTGCTGGGATTACAGGTGTGTGCCACCGCACCTGGCCGGATTTTTTTTTAAATACAGGTACCCAGGAGCCAGCCTAAACATAGTTAGGTAGACGCTGGGGTCAGGGGTGCCGTGCTAGGGAATGTAGCGTTGGAGTAGCTGGCTTCACATCCCAGCACTATCACTACGACTTTGGGCCAGCAGCTTAGCTTCTCTCCTTGCATTTTCTCACTAGTAAGATAAATAGTATGTTTTCATTCAAAGGAATTTTCTCTTTGAGACAGTTTCATTCAAAGGAATTTTCTCTTTGCTCTGTTGCTCAGTGCAGTGGCATGATCATAGTTCATGGCCTCCTCGACCTCCTGGGCTTGACCAGTCCTACCTCAGCCTCTCGGGTAGCTGAGACTACAGGCGTGCGCCACCACATTGGCTATTTTGTTGTTTTTAAGTTTTTGTAGGCCAGGTGCAGTGGCTCATACCTGTAATCCTAGCACTTTGGGAGGCCAAGGCGAGCAGATTACCTGCGTTCAGGAGTTCCAAACCAGCCCAGGAAATGTAGTAAAACCCTATCTCTACCAAAATTACGAAAATTAGCTGGGTCTTGTGGCACGTGCCTGTAGTTCCAGCTACTCAGAAAACTGAGGCGGGAGGATCACTTGAGCCCAGGTGGCCAAGGCTTCAGTGAGCCATGACTCTACCAAGCTGGGCAACAGAGCCAGACTCTGTCTCAAAAAGATAAAATAATTAATTTTTTATAGAGACAGGGTCTTCACATGTTGCCTAGGCTGGTCTTGAACTCCTGGGCTCAACCAATCCTCCCACCGTGGCCTCCCAAAGTGCTGGGATTATTGATATGAGCCTCTGTGCCCAGCCCCAAAAATATTTATTGAGCTCCATCCTGTACCTGTCATGGTTCCACGCACTGGGCATACAGTGGTGAACAAGCCAGACACAGTCTCTGCTCTAACAGAACTTGTATTCTGATGAAAGGCAGGAAAAACCAGAAAGCGTATCAGACAGGGTGGTATCAGAGAGTGATGTGGGGCTACTTAGATTGGAACATGGAGGAAAACCTCTGAGGAAATGATTTCTTGGTGTTTTGTGTTTGTTTTACTTTCATTTGTTTGTTACTGTTTGTTTTCAGACAAGGTCGGGCTCGGTCACCCAGGTTGGAGTGCAGTGGTGCGATCTTGGCTCACTGCAACCTCTGCCCCCTGGACTCAAGTGATCCTCCCACCTCAGCCTCCCAAGTAGCTGGGACCACAGGCATACTTCACCATGTCTGGCTAATTTTTATATTTTTGGTAAAGACAGGGTTTCACCATGTTGCCTAAGCAACTCCTAGACTCCTAGACTTAAGCAACTCTTAAACTCCTAGACTCAAGCAGTCTTCCTGCCTCAGCCTCCCAGAGTGCTGGGATTATTGGTGTGAGCCACTACACCCAATGACCCTTTTTTACAATGTTAACAGTAGAAGAAAATTAGGAAAATCACATGCTTTTCTCTTGACTCTCAGCCAACCATCATAGTAGGTAACTCTGGGAAGTGGATGCAGTGAGTTCTGAAATGAATGTATTTGAGAGGTCGAACACCGTGTTTAGAAAGTCCCTGTAGCCCAGGGTGGTGGCTCATGCCTATAATCCCAGCACTTTGGGAGGCCACAGCATGTAGATCACTTGAGGTCAGGAGTTCGGGAGCAGCCTGGCCAACGTGGTAAAAGCCCATCTTTACTGGGCTGGGCGTAGTGGCCCATGCCTGTAATCCAAGCACTTTGGGCAGATCACCTGAGGTCAGGAGTTCAAGACCAGCCTGACCAACATGGTGAAACCCTGTCTTAAAAAAATAAAAATAAGGCTGGGCATGGTGGCTCACGCCTATAATCCCAGCACTTTGGGAGGCCACGGCGGGTAGATCACGACGTCAAGAGATCGAGACTGTCCTGGTCAACGAGGTGAAACCCCGTCTCTACTAAAAATACAAAAATTAGCTGGGCATGGTGGTGCGCGCCTGTAGTCCTAGCTACTCGGGAGGCTGAGGCAGGAGAATTGCTTGAACCCAGGAGGCGGAGGTTGCGGTGAGCTGAGATCGTGCCATTGCACTCCAGCCTGGGCAAGAAGAGCGAAACTCCGTCTCAAAAAATAAATAAATAAATAAAAATGTAAAAAGCCCGTCTTTACTAAAAATACAAAATTAGCTGGGTGTGGTAGTGCATGCCTGTAATCCCAGCTACTCAGGAGGTTGAGTCAGGAGAATGGCTTGAACCTGGGAGGCAGAGGTTGCAGTGAGCCAACATCACACCATTGCACTATGGCCTGGGTGACAGAGCAAGACTCCGTCTCAAAATAAATCAATAAATAAAAATAAGAAGGAAGTCCTTATAGATTTCTCAGAGTCTGTGTTTGTTTGTTAGATGCTTGTTGACGTTCCCTGCTCAGATCTGGCGCAGGAACTACGCCAAAGTTGTGCCACCGTCCAGGGGCTGCAGCACACACTCCAGCAGGTGCTTGACCAGAGAGAGGAAGCGCGCCGGTCCAAGCAGCTCCTGCAGCTGTACCTCCAGGCTTTGGAGAAAGAGGGCAGCCTCTTGTCAAAGCAGGAAGGTAGGACTCCTGAGAATTCGGGGCTGATGGAGGTGTCCCTCTAGAGGACACTGTATTTGTAATGCAGCTAGAGACACTGTAGTCATGGCGGCTGGGGTGCTGGAAGGGCTCGTTCCTGTCTTGCCTGGCCAGTTATTCTGGTAGGTTGGTCACGTGGCTGTAGGGTCACTCCATGTCTGCTCTGTCTCGTGCCTCCTTTGCAGAGTCCAAAGTTGCCTTCGGTGAGGAGGCGGATGCAGTAGACACTGGTATCAGCGGAGAGGCCTCCTCGGATGTTGCACTGGCGAGCCACATCCTTACTGCACTGAGGGAGAAGCCAGCTCCAGAACTGAGCTTATCTAGCCAGGATTTGGAGGTGGGCAGAAACCAGGGTCACTGAGCTACAGAGAAGGACCTGCCCTGGGATGTAGTATTGTCGTGCAGAGGCATGTGGGGCCTTTGGTTCACCTCTGCAGCCTGTGAATCCTAGCTGCCAGTTTGCCTATAATATGCCAGAGCATCTACAAACATCTCATTAATCTAAATCAAAATAGCTTTAAAGAAAAATGCATATACTTCCTCAGATCATCAAACAGACTCTGGTCCAAGGCTGGTAATGAAGTGACTGTTCCTGACAGGGAAGAATAGCAGGGCCCAATCTTCCGAGACGGCTTCTGGCTCTTTCCATGGTCAAAGAAGATCCATAGTCTATCCTGAGGTCTGTTAATGTCACATGAAAAGGCAAACTTGAGGGAATCATCGCCTGCTGGCTAAGACCAGAGAACTAAAAGCTTGAGGAAGGGAACCCGTCAAGGCGGGTACTACTTCTGATTCTTTGTCCTTGTCCCTGTCACAAGTGCCTCCCGGTTGTAGATAGAAAGGAAGGAAACGGTTGACTTGAGCTTGGCTGCATTTCCTGAGGGTGGAGGACTTTGGGGTTGCTCCAAGTAAACTTTCCAAGGACTTCTTCCTGTCGGTGTAAGAAAAGGCCCATGCCAATTGATGGTAAAGGAAACCTGGCATTTCAATGTAAAGAGGCAACATAAACAGATACTGCCGGCCGGGCGTGGTGGCTCATGCCTGTAATCCCAGCGCTTTGAGAGGCCAAGGCGGGTGGATCACGAGGTCAAGAGATCAAGACCATCTTGGTCAACAAGGTGAAACCCCGTCTCTACTAAAAATACAAAAATTAGCTGGGCATGGTGGTGCGTGCCTGTAGTCCCAGCTACTTGGGAGGCTGAGGCAGGAGAATCGCTTGAACCCAGAAGGCGGAGGTTGCGGTGAGCCGAGATCACGCCATCGCACTCAAGCCTGAGTAACAACAGCGAAACTCCGTCTCAAAAAAAAAACGGATACTGCCTCATCTCACTCCCCAAAAGAGACTCAGGAGAGCAGCAGGTGAGGCGCGCACAACGCCTCAGTTCTCAGGGGTTCTTATTCTTGCTGCAGTTGGTTACCAAGGAAGACCCCAGAGCACTGGCTGTTGCTTTGAACTGGGACATAGAGAAGACGGAGACTGTTCAAGAGGCCTGTGACCGGGAGCTCGCCCTGCGCCTGCAGCAGATGCAGAGCCTGCATTCTCTCCGGAGCATCTCTGCAAGGAAGCCCTCACTACCTGGAGAACCGCAGAATCCTAAGCGAGCCAGACAGGATCCCACATAGCAGCGGGAAGTGCACCAAGGAAACGCGCGGCCTTGTTTCTGTTATCGGTATTCACCCTCAGCCTGAGCATTTGACTACCTATGTACTACTCTGCCCCCTGCCTTAGAGTGTGTTCCAGAGAAGCTATTCCAGGTCTCAACATACGCCTTCCACCAATTCTGTCTTTTTTTTTTTTAATTTCAGCCCTACCAGCTTCAGGACTTCTGCCAATTTCGAATGATATAGCTGCACCAACAATATCCCACCTCCTCTACATATTCTTATGTTCTCTGTTTAAAAGTAATTGGTGGTGACTCTGGGTGCACTGCCTAACATTTAGCTCCACATGAAACAATTTTAAAAAAGAAAAAGGTTTGTTTAGCACTGAAATCTTTGATGTGATCAGTTAAAAAAAAAAGGAAAGGCCAGGGCAGTGGCTCACACCTATAATCCCAGAACTTTGGGAGGCCGAGGCAAGCGGATCACCTGAGATCAGGAGATTAAGACCAACCTGGCCAACATGGTGAAACCCCATCTCTACTAAAAATATAAAAATTAGTTTGAACCTCCATCTCTGGGGTCAAGCGATGCTCCTGCCTCACCTTCCTAAGTAGCTGGAATTACAGGTATGAGCCACTGTGCCCAGCCGTAAGACCCTGTCTCTATAAAAAAAATTTTTTTTAAGTTAGCCAGGCATAGTGGCACTGACCTATAGTCCTAGCTACTCAGGAGGCTGAGGTGAGAGGATCGCTTGAGCCCAGGAGTTCAAGACTGCAGTGAGCTCTGATCATGCCACCGCACCCCAGCCTGGATGATAAGAGTAACACCCTACTTTAAAAAAAAAAAAAAGGTAATTGTCAAGGGTATTGAAAAGAAATGGTCATACTTGAGACTCATCCTTATTCTGAAGATAGTACTGCAGAATTTTAAGCACAGATAATGGTGGAGACAGTGACATTATAGAGTGTTGATTATGGCCACAAACTTGTTTCTGCAGTTAACGAATTTTTCTATTTGTTTGTTTAAAGATTATATATTTGCCTGGAAAGTGCTGTTAAAAAATAAATAAAGATACATATTAAGCTTGTAGACCACAGGGACATACGTAGAGTCCATTTCTAATATCTAATTCAGTATTGTGAAATTATATCTCACCACTGTGAAACTCTTTTAAGTTTTCTAATTGTTTTATCAGCAGGGGGTATAAAAGGTCATTAAAGCAATTTCCATGTGCTGTGACTGCAAGTCTCGGTATGAAGCAGAGGAGGCCTGGCTTGTCTTCTTCTTGTCTCTGTACAGACTGGTTCTGCAGGTTTGCTAATCTGCAGTACACTCTCTTTGCAGGGAAAAGGTGATGAGTTATCACGGACTTACCCGGCCATTTTTTATGCATGCTTAGAGCAAAACAGAATACTATTAAGAGATTTATTGGCTAGTTATTAAGTAAAGAAATATCGGCCGGGCACAGTGGCTCACCCTATAATCCCAGCACTTCGGGAGGCTGAGGCGGGTGGATCACAAGGTTAAGAGATCGAGACCATCCTGGTCAACAAGGTGAAACCCCGTCTCTACTAAAAATACAAAAATTAGCTGGGCATGGTGGTGCGCGCCTGTAGTCCCAGCTACTTGGGAGGCTGAGGCAGGAGAATTGCTTGAACCCAGAAGGTGGAGGTTGTGGTGAGCTGAGATCATGCCATTGCACTCCAGTCTGGGTAACAACAGCGAAACTCCGTCTCAAAAAAAAAAAAAAAAATCACAATAGTCCAGGTGCAGTGGTTCATGCCTGTAATCCCAGCACTTTGGGAGGCTGAGATTCGTGGATCATCTGAGGTCAGGAGTTTGAGACCAGCCTGGCCAACCTGGTGAAACCCTATCTCTACTAAAAATACATAAAATATCCCTTACTAAGAAGCCATCACTGATAATCTACCTACACTCATCCTTACAGCAGCATCAATATAATGCCCCAAATGTACTATTTCAGGAATGTACTATTTAAAGGAAAATAATTTCCAATAAAGTGACTGTCAGATGTTTGCACTGATGGAATCGCCATGCATCTGGCAGGCTAGCTGGCACATGGGCATAGTGATTGTCAGCTCCAATGCCACCAGCAGCATTGCCCTCAGTAATGGGATTTCCCACAAGAGTAAACGTATCTGTCCTGGATTTACAAGTACCTACATTCCTAGGAAATCTAGGGGACATTAAAACTCACCATGTTACCCAGGCTGGCCTCAAGCAATCCTCCCACATCAGCTTCCCAGAGTTTTGGGATTACAGGCATGAGCCACCACACCCAGCCAAAATATTTTCCTTATTTCTGTGAAACACACAGAGCTTTTGTTGACTCATCTGGCTGTTGGTATTGGTATTCTATACTTGAACCCACCAAGAGGCTGAACTGGACAGGATAATGAAAAAAGTACTGTGGCTTTGGGACTGAGACAAACCGTATTGAGTCAAACCTCTTAGTTACTCTAAAGCCCCAAGCTTGAAAGGGTTAAATTAAGTATATGTTTTGTTTTGTTGTTTGAGATCTTGCTCTTCCCCAGGCTGGAGTGCAGTAGCACAATCTCGGCTCACTGCAACCTCCATCTTCCAGGTTCAAGTGATTTTCTTGCCTCAGCCTCCAGAGTAGCTGTGATTACAGGTGGCCGCCACCACGCCCAGCTAATTTTTTTTTTTTTTAATGTATTTTAAGTAGACATGGTTTCACCATGTTGGCCGGGCTGGTCTCAAACTTCTCACCTCAGGTGATCCACCTGCCATGGGCTCCCAACGTGCTGGGATTACAGGTGGTGAGTCACCACGCCCAGCCTAAATGAACCAACCAAACTGGGGAACATAACAAGGCCCCATCTCTACAAAAATTTAAAAAATAAAAATTAGCCGGGTGTAGCACTCGCCTGCAATCCTAGATACTCAGGCAGCTAAGGCAGAAGGATCACTTGAGCCCAGGAGTTCGAGGCTGCAATGAGCTATGATCGTGCCACTGTACTCCACCCTGGGTGGCAGAGTGAGGCCCTGTCTCAAAATAAATAATCCAGTCCCCCCAAAAAAGGAATGAAGTACTGTAATGAGAAAGATCATAGTACTTACCATATAGTAGACAGTGGAGAGTGGTTCTCTTTCATTTCCCAGGGGCAGACAGCTGGGGTGCAGGAGTCCTCTATCAAAGAGTCAGTAGGGCAAAGACCTTAGTCTGCAAACTGTAGCCCAGATGTGTAATGAATGTGGTCACAAACGTAGTGCCCCAGTACCACTTACCTTCCCTATAACCACTGTGCCTCCAGCCTTACAGAACAGAACCAGAGGAGCAGAGCCATACCTCTAAAAACAGGAGTGAGCGAGAGCAGGGCATGCCTGCTCTCACGGTAGGGGAAAAGACTGTCAGAGAAAGCAGCTGGAACTAATGAACTCCACATTAGCCTTCTTCCATTCTTTCAACTTAAGTCAAATGTCGGTCCTCGTTAGGCAATTGGCTTTGACAGGAGCTGTGCTAATTACTACTTACCAACCTTTAATTTCTGGGTAAAAGCAAAAGAAAAAAACTAATGGATTTTTCATTTTCCAGAGAGCTAGGAATAAAAGAAGTCCGTAAAGAAAAAGAAAAAAACCTGTATCAATTATAAGAATAACTAAGTGCCTTTAATAACCAGATTATTTAGCTGTTTAATTTCCTAATTACCTGTTCAAGCTTTTTTTTTTTTCAGCTTCAGGGTTTTTGTCCATTTTGTTTGTGGAGTTTTGTCTTAAATCATTTTGGCTGCATCTTCTACATCTTGCGGGTTTTTTGTTTGTTTTTCAGATGGAGTTTCACTCTTGTTGCCCAGGCTGGAGTGCAGTGGCACAATCTCAGCTCACTGCAACCTCCATCTCCCACATTTAAGCAGTTCTCCTGCCTCAGCCTCCCAAGTAGCTGGGGGCTACTTGGTGTGCACACAAGGTGTGCGCCACCAAGCCTGGCTCATTTTTTGTGTTTTCAGTAGAGACAGGGTTTCACCATATTGGCCAGCTGGTTTCGAACTCCTGACCTCAGGTGATCCACCCGCCTCAGCCTCCCAGATTGCTGCCATTATAGGCTTGAGCCACCGCACCTGGCTACACCTTGCAGTTTTGTTTTGTTTTTGACAGTTTTGTTCTGTCGCATAGGCTGCAGTGCAGTGATGTGATCTTGGCTCACCGCAACCTCTGCCTCCCAGGTTCAAGCAATTCTCCTACCTCAGTCTCCTGAGTAGCTTGGACTACAGGTGTCCACCACCACGCCCAGCTAATTTTTGTACTTTTAGTAGAGATGGGATTACACCATATTGGGCAGTCTGGTCTCAAACTCCTGACCTCGTGATTCACCCACCTCAGCCTCCCAAAGTGCTGGGATTACAGGCATGAGCCACTGCACCTGGTCCGTTTTTTATTTATTATTTTTTGAGACAGAGTCTCACTCTGTCACCCAGGCTGGAGTGCAGTGGCATGATTTCGGCTCACTGCAACCTCCACCTCCCAGGCTCAAGTGATTCTCCTGCCTCAGCCTCCGAAGTAGCTGGAATTTCAGGCATGCACCACCATGCCTGGCTAATTTTTGTATTTTTAGTAGAGACAGGGTTTCATCATGTTGGCCAGGCTGGTCTTGAACTCCTGGCCTCAATTGATCTGCCTGCTTTGGCCTCCCACAGTGCTAGGACTACAGGCATGACCACCACACTTGGCTGACACCAATTTAAAAACTGAAAAACAATGAGTGTGGCTTTCTTCTAGAAAAAAAAAATTTTTTTTCAGACAGTTTCTCTCTTGTTGCCCAGGCTGGAGTACAATGGCAATGGCTGGCTCACTGCAACGTCAGCTTCCCAGGTTCAAGCGGTTCTGTGTCAGCCTCCCAAGTAGCTGGCATTACAGGCGCATGCCACCACACCCAGCTAATTTTTGTATTTTTAGTAGAGACAGGGTTTCATCATATTGGTCAGGCTGGTCTTGAACTCCTGACCTCAGGTTATCCATCTGTCTCATCCTCCCAAAGTGCTGGGATTATAGGCGTGAGCCATTGTGCCCGGCTGAAAAATCTTAAAAGACAAAGTTCTGAAGGTTAGCTGGCCTTCCAGGCAGACTTCTTCCACCAGTGCACTGACCCAGTTACTGGTCTCCTAAAGCTGCTGTGCTTGGAAATGTGGATACTATTGAGTCTCTTCCATCACATCATACTTTATTCAGCTAGTAATTATGAATATGAGGTCAGCTCTGCAGAAAACAGAACGGAATGGTCAGCAGTCATTCTCAGGGAGTCTGCTCCCCTGGTGTCCAGAGAATATTCCCATATCCTCCAGTCAGCGTTTGCTGGTTTTCCCAATCAAGTTTAGCATCTAAAAACCTTCATGGCCAGGTGCAGTGGCTGTCGCCTCTAATCCCAGCACTTTGGGAGGCTGAGGCAGGTGGATCAATTGAGGTCAAGAGTTCAAGACCAGCCTAGCCAATATAGCGAAACCAGGTCTCTATTAAAACTAGAAAAATTGGCCAGGTGCAGTGGCTCACGCCTATAATCTCAGCATTTTTGGAGGCTGGGGCAGGTGGATCACCTGATGTCAGGAGTTCAAGACCAGCCTGGCCAACATGGTAAAACCCCGTCTTTATGTCTCTACTAAAAATACAAAAGCGGGGTGTGGTGGTGCATGCCTGTAGTCCTAGCCATTTGGGAGGCTGAGGCAGGAGAGTCACTTGAACCTGGGATGCGGAGGTTGCAGTGAGCAGAGACAGCAGCATTGGACTCCAGTCTGAGCAACAAAGGCAAAACTCCATCTAAAAAAAAAAAAGGCCAGGCACGGTGGCTCACGCCTGTAATCCCAGCACTTTGGGAGGCTGAGGTGGGCGGATCACAAGGTCAAGAGATTGAGACCATCCTGGCCAACATGGTGAAACCCCGTCTCTACTAAAAAATACAAAAATTAGCTGGGCATGGTGGCACGTGCCTGTAGTCCCAGCTACTCGGGAGGCTGAGGCAAGACAATCACATGGATCTGGGAGGCAGATGTTGCAGTGATGCACTCCAGCCTGGGTGACAGAGGGAGACTCCATCTCAAAAAAAAAAAAAAGAGGCT